CCCGAACCAGGGCTCTCCTCCCGCCTCACATCCCATCCTGGCCTCATGGCACCACTGACCTCCTGGGCATCCTCAGCAAGACACATGGAGACTTTTTAGACCCACGTGAAAGCTGGATGCTGAGGGCACCTGCCCCTTCTCCCAGACCCATCTTCTGACGCAGCCGTGATCCTTCCCCTCTCAGAAGGGATCGGAAGCCTCTTTTCTCCTTGTGGGCTAAAGCCACTCAATGAACTGCAGCTCATGAGACCCTTTGCAGAGAGTCTCTGGAATGTTTCCACTGTATCTTGACCTTCAGGTGGAGCTGTGATCCACAGACTGGTTATTTCTTGTGCATCTTTTTTTTTCTCCTCAGGAGGTAGACCAAGAAGACTCGAGTTTGGGTGACTTCATTACAAACACCCATCTGGCATTTTCTAGTCTCTGGGACATCATAACCAATCTGAAGCCTGCAGTTTGGGGTGGCGTTGGGGGATGACTCCTGTGAGAAGGGACAGCCATATTGCACTGTAAGTGGGGTTTCCCCTCAAAATGCGTTAGGAGCTCCTTTCTCAAGGACAACAAGCAGTGGCAACCACCAGAAGGTTGGTTGGGAAAACAGTTCTTGCTTCTGGTAGCAGAGGCTGTGCCTCGTGTGTCTGTCTGCTTAGGAAGGAGGCCTTGAATCTGAGAATCCCTCAGTTAAATGATGACCTACCGGGGAGTTATTTATGATTAGGTGCACTCGGGAAGGCCTGGGGCTCCATCCTAAGGTGACACTGCAGAGGTACTTTTGACGCCCTCTATGTACCAGGCACTTGTTAGGGACTGTCGTATATCATCACGTTTCATCACTACCACCCTGTCAGGGGGCATCCTTATCCCTGCTGCCCCCGTCTCCACCCCACTTTTCTTAAATAGTTGAAGAAATAGTCTGAGAGAGGTGGGGGGGACCGGTGGTTCTCATTTGGTGCCCAGGAACCCCAAAGGAGGTTGGGGGAAGGGCTGAGCCGGGGTCAGTGGTGGTCTGGGAGGCTCCCCACCCACCGGTTTAACTCCCCTGTCCTCCAGATCAGCTGAGCCTGATGGGGGGAGGGGGAGGTACTGCCTTCCATAGGTTTATTAGAGATTTAGAGATACTGTTCAAATCACATGTCCACCCCACCTCAGTCCAGTGTAGGGCATATAAATAACAGCCTGAAACAGCAAGACCGTAAGCTGTTGGGTGTTCGTCTCTCAACACTAGTGTTATCAGTGGATTCCTCATAGCTCTCTGATAGATGCATTGTCTGCTGGCTTTTGGAAGAGGTGGTGGTTTCGTGGAGCATGAGATTGAGAAGCAAAGTGGGATCCAACAGTTTGTGAGGCTGAGATGTGACGGAGTCCTAGGCTGTGCCCACCATGATGGCCTGAATTAGTAGTCGGAATTGTTGCCCTAGAAGAGCTTTTCAGGGTCCTTCCCAAGGCCTCAGAGAGAGCCCAGTGCCGGGGGATCTTTTGCACCTCCTGTGTGGCTTCTTTGCCCTGCCAGGTGGGTGGTGACTCTCACTGCCTGGTGGTTGTGATTCACATCCTGCCCTGGGGGTGGGCAGGGGGAGGCCTGTGGTCCTGACAGACACTACATGAGCCAAGCCTGAATCTCAGCTTCTGCCTTGAGTTCCTGTGTCCACCCGCTCTGAAATCCTGCAGTGGACTGTGCTGTCTCAGGCCCCGTTTAATGTCCTTTCTTTCCCGGAAACATTCTTACAGCCCCTTTCATATTGAAGATTCGAGCAATAACCTCAGTTCCTGATTTCCTTGAAGTCTGAGCCCCAGAAGCACTAGGGAAGGGGGCGCTCCCTTAGCCTGGGCTGGTGGCATACAGATCCACCTCCTCTCCCGGCAGGTAGTATTCACAGTGTGGTGTCATCTGAGATGAAGGAGATGCAGGTAAACAGTCAGTCGCCACAGTAGCCAGGAACCCTAAGAGGAAGCCATTGTCTTCACCCTTTCTGGAGGGTCTGTTTTCTCCCAGGAAGAGGCTCAGAGAGATTCCTCAAGGCCTTGGTTCCATAACGAAGACATACCCGGGGGGTGAGAAATGGCCCTTCACTCCTGTTTCTCAGACAGTTCCTGCTCTCTCCCCCATCCCCTCACCTCTTTGCCCTCATTTAGCTCTTTGGCGAGCAGAAATATCCCATCCAAAAGGGCTGGGATCAGGGAACAGGGCTCAGAGCCTGGTCAGGGAACAGGGCAGCTGCCCCAGTCATCATCTGGAGACGGTCATGTTGTTAGCAGTTGACCCAGAGAGAATATGACGGGGCCTGTCTTCTCACACAAGGACACAGACTAACCGGAGGCCTGGGGCTCCTTCCTGCCACACTCGGGTCGGAGCTCACCTATGAGCTCACTTCCGAGTGGTGCGGTGATCCCAGCCTTCTCAGAGCCCTTTTTCCTTCTCCTCCCCAGTCCCATCCCACCAGAGGTCATGCCCACGCTGGGGCATCTCCTGGGCACGGATCCACACACGTTAAGCCATCTCACCTGGGGAGAGTTTGTGTCCTGTTCACCTGACCTTGGCATGCTGGCTGCTCACTTTGCTTTAGGATCTGCACACCTAGTGTGTGTAAGTATGTGTGTACTGTTGTGCCATCTGTGTACCCCTCACTCCCTGGAGTACACTCATGGGCACACTACAGTGGGGACGTCAAGGATGCAATATTTATGGATTGCTGCATGATTCTTAAAAATGAATAAAACAGTTCACAGGGGAAGGAGAGCTGTTAACTGCGCAGTTGGCTTACTTGTGAAAGTTTCTGTCCGACTTTCTCCAGCACGCTTTTAATACTTTTACTCAAGACAAGCTGGACGTGGAGGAGTGAGAGACGGCAAGGGGTAGGGA